TTTGCCCCATTTTGGGGGGGGGGGGGGGGTGTTTGATTTGAGTCTTGAATAGGCCAATATGTAAATAGTCTTCAGAAGTACTATAAATGTACGAAAATCGCATAATTTCTTAAAAAATATCTCAAACTAGGAATTTCTTTTCTATTTCTATAGATGTCTTTTCTATATACAAGAAAAGACGACTCGTCTTTGTAACTTTCAAACGAGGAAAACTTTTGCGGTGAGCTGTGAACACTATTACTAATGTGTCATTGCCTTTTATTGAATAGTAACTTGTTAATTTCAATCACCCTAATCACTATTACAGATTGGCTTAGCTACAAAATGTCCCGTTTCTGAGACTAAGGTACGATTGGTAAAAAAAGAGGCTTATTTGTCCCTTTAAACGATCATTATCAAGAGGGCAACAGACTGTTTCATAGACCTATAACATACTTACTATTATTATCAACTTCCTCAATGAATTTCAATGGCTTAATAGTGGGTAAGCGATGGCTCGGTGAGGCTTGCAACACCTTTATTACATTTCAATGGTCCAATAGGGGGTCATCGATGGATCGGCGAGGCTTGCAACTCCTTTATTACATTTCAATGGTTCAATAGGGGGTCAGCGATGGCTCGGCGAGACTTGCAACTCCCTTAATACATTTCAATGGTTCAATAGATGGTCAGCGATGGCTCGGCGAGACTTGCAACTCCCTTAATACATTTCAATGGTTCAATAGATGGTCAGCGATGGCTCGGCGAGACTTGCAACTCCCTTAATACATTTCAATGGTTCAATAGATGGTCAGCGATGGCTCGGCGAGACTTGCAACTCCCTTAATACATTTCAATGGTTCAATAGATGGTCAGCGATGGCTCGGCGAGACTTGCAACTCCCTTAATTCATTTCAATAGTTCAATAGGGGATTAGCGATGGCTCGACGAGGCTTGCAACTCCCTTAATACATTTCAATGGTTTAATAGAGGTTCAGCGATGGCTCCGCGAGGCTTGCAATTCCCTGAATACATTTCAATAGCTCAAAAGGGGTCAGTGGCTGCTCTATCCTGGCATAGGTCGTTTACCTCGGATTTTTTTTGTCAGTTACTCAGTGATCAGGTGAGAGGCGTTTAGTCGTTCGATAGAGGCGGTAAACTGAGGTCCCGTGTGCTACAACACAAGAACACTAAACATATTTAGCTCACAAGGAATAGGTTAATATCTCTGCCCTGCGAGTTACCCGTCTTCATTAGCAGATCAGGTTAAAAACAGTTAGACGGAAAAATATTGCGATTCTCCGCATTTTCCGTTTCCGACTAGATGAAGAGTTACCTACATTGATGGATGATGGTCCAATAAATGAGTATGAATACATAGGCATACGTTATAATGATATTGTTATCAGGTAGGGGTCAAGACAAATGAATGACCACACAGTGGGTGACGTTTCAAAACTGTATTATTACAAACCCCTGAAAGTACAATAAATGTGGTTATAATAACTATCAGAAAAATGAATAGATTAAAATAACATAACTATGCTAATACATAAAACACACTATATTTCTAATGTCACTTTAGTCACACAAGATGAATATAAATAATGAAATATTAAATATACAAAATACAAAAATACATACCCAGAAGTTGGGGCAAATAATAAGGTGAAACCTAGAAAATACCAATACTCTTATTAAAAACTATATTTTTACCATATTACTGTGCAGTAACTAAAATACTTAATATTTAAAACAATTACCACAACTGAACTGGAACTATACTCAAAATACTTTGAGAATTCAAAATGGCTGCCATACACTTTGCTTATATGCCAATTAATAACCTTGCAAAACCTTACGGAGTACAATATACAGGATATGATATTATAAAAACATACCTTTGAAATACAGAACTGACTTAAGTAATCCTGACATAAACAACACAATCCATGAAATATGAATATAATATACGGTGAAATTTGTAAAATACAACTTTTCCGCCAAAACCTGATACAGGGAAGAACTGAAACAGTCCTTTCAACATGTAAACTAAAAGTTGAACAGAAGCTCATCAATGGATAAAGTATAACGAAGATAGAACAGGGTGAACAGATTTGAGTTGATTGTTAGTATATTTGTGACTATGTGTTCAGTGTGTAATTTTGTAAACACTTTTTCCTGATTCGGGACATTCTTAAATCAACACGTTTTAAGTAGGTTAAATTTGTGATTTAAGCGCATTAGGAATTGTCCAGCTGTAGACTGATGCAAATAGTAGCTAAATAGGTGGCAGACTGACTTAATGGGGGACAACTGTCGAGGTCGAATTCAAAATTCCTAAACTCTCTTGTAAATAGAAGTCTTGGTGGCCTTGATCATTCATATAGGTTTTGATCGAAAAACTTGACGACAGGTTCCTCTTAAAGGGATAGCCTACTACCTCATAGGATGACCAAAATATTGAAATTTGTTGACTTGACTATTAAATTCACAGTTTAGGATCTTTTTTACCAGTTGGTCCTAACCTCTGGGCAATGATCTTTCCTGGACAGCTGGGTCGATAGGAATTATGAGTGAAGATGACTTATTGATCGGACTTTCACACGCCGATCGAGATAGGATAAAAAACAGAATCACCAATAAATCCATAAATTGAATAATAATCCTAAGGAGCGTGTTTCAATGATTAATTAGTTGTATAGATATATAGCGATTCTACTTGTTAGGCATGGCACCTGTTAAGTCCAACTGATGAATATTTACGCGTGTTAACCAAGTTTTAGACTTTAAAATTAATGTCCACTCTAAGATTTGTTTTTGAGGTAGTATCCTTTTAACAACTACACAAGTTGTCAGTCATGTCATAGAACTATTACAGTTCTATGGTCATACCTAGGTTATGTCGTATCTTTTAATTTTGTTTCCATTTTGGTCTTTAGTATACCTTTAAGGGAAAGGTAACTCTTATGTACATTTATTATCTCCCTTGTCAAGATGGCGGGGAAAGTCGTCAAAAAATGAAAAAATAGTGTGTACGCAAAGCCGGCAGAAGTAACTATTACCTCCAAATTTATTAGTAATACTGGGCAAAAAAAACCCAACAAAAATGAAGAGTTACAACAGCACAATAAATAATGATAAAACTGAAGAGGAGGATTGGTGTATAGAATGTAGTGATGATGAAAAATACAATCCAACACAGGAGAAAAAGGGGGTATGGCAACCGAAACCTGAAGATATTATAAGTCTGTTTGAGAAGTTAGAAAAAGAAAAGTTTATCGAGTTGCGATGGCAATGTCCAGGCCGTCGTCCTCCAGAATCTGAAAAGGAAGAAACTGAAACTCCAGAACCAACTGTAGAAAAGGAAGTGGTGGAAGAACAACCAAAAGAAGAAGAAAAGAGGTAAGTCTGATTTGTACTAAAGGGATTGTGAATTCTAAACTTTTTTTTGTGTATTGGTGATATTGATAGCATCAATTTGCACCATGTAAAATCACAGCCGATTTGGTAAGTTTTCTTCTCTGCATTGCAAATCAGTGGACTTGTATTTTATCTTTTAAAAAATTAACCAACACTTACAATGGCCAGTGCTATTTTGAAGCTGTCATAGTTTCTATTTTTTTTTTCAGACCTTCAGCTCCAAGTGAGTTTGATTTTGATGATATGGATTCTACAACCTCTACAGTCATAACTCCCAGGAGAACTCCAGGTACAATTTTCTGGGTTTTATTCTTTATCTTTTCTGTATACATGTAAAAACTGTTTGGGTGTTTAAGTTCCATTAGCTCACATGAAATATAAACATATCCTTCTTTGAAGTTCAAGTTTTATCCTATGTAGATTATTTGCATGAGAGCTTTGTTAATAGTCTAAATTTAAGTCAAATTTGATGATATGTTCATCTAAAATATTGTAAGTTAGATACAAAGAAAGTTATGTTTTTGTCTTTTACAGGAGCATCGAAAACACCTAGATCTGTCAAAAAAGTTGCCAGAATGGACAATGTATTAAATGATATCAAACGACGAAGAGATGCAGATAGGGAGGCCAGAAGAAGTATGTTAGGACGGTCTCCAGTAGGAAGTCCAGGACGTAGTATGGGAGGAATGACTGGTGTACATACTCCCTATAGACCAACCCATCCTGTTACTTCCAGTTCCTCTAATATAGTAACATCTTCATCTTCAAATATCAATTCTACCCCTGTGTCATCAACTAATTCAGATCAAAATAAACCTACAGAAAATACTGTTTCTACTACTGTAACTTCTAGTTCTGGCAACTCTTGATTTCCATTATCTAAAGTGTGGTGTGCACAGTAGAGTGATTTTGGTTTGAACAATGTTTCTTCAGCAACTCTTGTTGGTTGGATATTGTGACAGAATATCAGTGTAGATTTGAGTGTTCAGCATATACTTAATATACTCCAAGTGCATAATTGATTCATCGATCGCAGTATTTACATAGGGGCACCATTTGATATCTGCCAGTGAAAACATTGCAAACAATGTTATATTGACTTATTGAAACTGGTGTCTGTGACCAGGTGAGAATTAATATTTCAAGATGATCTGATCAAATTAAAGTTAATAATGGAAATAAGAAAATATAGATTTATTGCATTATTGACAATTTTTTACTGACTTGTGTCTGTTACTATTGTTTCAAAAGCCCTGTAGTGTACTGTATGTATGAACCCACATTGGTCTGATTTGAAATGTGAACATAATAATCACTGAAACTAAATGAGTTATCAGTTGTACTTGGTAATTAAAAGACCATACTCGTTCCGTTCTTTACTTGCTTTTATTTTTGATATTGCCGCTTGAGTAAGGGCCTGCAGTTGTGATTCAAATCTAGCATTTCCAATAGAAGTCAAAATAAAATAGACACAGGACAGCTGTAACATATTTATTATGGGTTGTATACAAGAGAAAATTTACAGTAATGTTAATTATTACTTTCTACTACTTCAACAATATAAAGAAAATACATGATAACATCAATAAATCTGTAACAAGTAATTGCTGTGCCTACTAAGTCTTAAAGTTAATGATACACAAAGCAGGAAAAAAGCTCTAACAGTATTGGTACTAACACTTTTCTATTGGAATAAAAGAATATAACTGAACTATGTCTATATCTTCTACAAATCTTGACTCAAGATCTTATGTAAAAAAAAAAAGCTTGCAAGATCTTTAGGGATAGCCCCTATCGTCATGCCCCACTGTCTTCACACAAAAGGTCAAAGAATGGAGAAGCCAGAATGTTTGAGACTACATTAAGGATTGATTTAAAAGTATTAATATTCTCCCATGCAGAAAGCAGCAATTAGTTGATAATAAGGGTTGGCTCTGCATCAGATAATGTATATATGCTCTGCATATCAATACGCTTGTGACATGGCTCATTACTTCTTTCCTCATCCTTCTATTCAAGCATTTTCTCCCAGAAGATTATTGAATGTCAAAATTTCTGCACCACATGATAAATGTGGTATATAATAGCACAGATAAGTTGCTTTCGAGCAAAATGGAATGGCTAAAAGCATGTTGAATAGAACTTGTTATCATATATATATATAACTCTTAAATATGACTAATATACGTACATGTAAGTAAGGGAAGGGGAAGAATTTAAGATGTAAAATGATATACTATAATGAATCTATAAATTATGTGGTTTTCAAATGTGTCAAAGGCCTTATGAACGAAAATAAGAGCTAAATATTTGGATGGTTTTTGGAAAAATTTGTAGGAAATGTTCCTCTGATTGGTTCAAAAAACTGAATATAATCAATAAATTTTACTGATTTTCTAACCACAATCTTAACCAAAAACCCCCAAGTTTTCAGCTTTGCTCAGGTTATTTAACTATCTGTTAAACCCTTAAACAAATATAACATGTATTGGGGAAAAAGTGAAACCTACGTCTACATTCCTGTTAATATTCAATCGGTAAATATGTAAATTTTTGGATATAAAAGTTAAGCAAAAACAACAATAACACTCTTACAATGGTAAGGATTTGAAAATTTGTAACAATTATGCTTATGTAAATAATTAATTCATTAGGTCCATATCACAATGATGACAATTATCATGAAAATCAAACCTCTGCATGAGAGGTTCAAAGCATTATGAAACTTGCTGACTCTTACCTTATCTATACGAGAGGTTGGTAAGAGTCAACAAGAATCTTAAGTTTTGAAAAGCTGCAAAAATATTAAAAGAAACGATGCGTATCAAATTCATGGCCTGCATGAAGGCAATCCTAAATCAGACATTCTCCTTATAGTTTACTGTCAACAATAATCGTCCACAAAAACAAAGAAATATTTTTCATGCAATGAGACAAAAATGATCTATAACTAACAAAGACCAACTATAATTTCAGCAGGTTTTATTCTACCGTCAAAGACTCTACAAAAATATTTCTGAAATTATTTTTACATAAAGGTGTTTACAGCTTCCATAAAAATCTCAATTTTAAGACTTCACTATTTTCCCAAAAGCAATGATAAGGTGGATATATCTTAACTTGTAAACCAAGCTTTGGTTATACATGACTTCAACATTTTCTACCCAAAAACTCTGCATCATGCCAAGAAACACAATAACTTAAAAAATTTGAAATTCATTTCATAAACTTTTCATGTTTTCAAATTCCATGGAAAAATCAACCACATTCGTTAATGTAAAAATGTTAACAATAGCTTACAGCATATAAATATTCTAAGCAAGCATTTCATATTTGAGCATCTGCTTAAACATGCTCCAGGCAAAGCCATAAAGCAGATGGATAGCTTCACTGCTTATAATGTCCTCCCTTACCAAAACTGGCGTCTTTATAAAGCAAAGTGAGCTGTGGCTTATGTGAAAAGCTTTGACTGCATTCATTGCTTTACTCACCTGAAACAGGACTATAAAGCAATGTGCAGTGTGTTTGAAATCTTATGAAAAGCTCTAACAAATACAACTAATGAAAGCTATGTGCAGTCAAAGCTATAAAAGATATGTATTATGCAATGTTAAACACAATACAGTATGGTGCACCAAAGCTTCAAGAGGATAACAATAATAATAATATATAACATATACATACAATATGGCAGTACAGATATAAGCAAAAATATGTCAATATAAAGTCAACATTTGAGGAAAATCAACACCTTTATAGATATTTTCATGATTTTGTATTAGTTAAAGAAAAACATAACTGATTAATGTGCAGGTTTCTGTGAGGGCCAGGACTCTGATGTGTCTCTAATCCTTTCATTTCAAACACATAAAAACAATATTATTCTAAAAATTTAACAAATTCATGATACTTTTGTTTTTTCTTTAACTTAAGAAATTCTGATGAACATTTTCATAACAGGTAGCACTACGTTCATGCAAAATTGTCTTTATGTTTTAAATGTAATGTTTCAACAAAATTTGTATCCAATTCACAATTTTTAAACCATAAGAGAGACAAGATACTAGAAATACGTTCACTACTAATGTACAACACATTGATCAAACAACAAATATTGTAGTCATAAAAATATTTCAGACGAATTAGTGCCAATTTCAGTGCATTATACATCAGTGTACATTCAATAGTTTAAGTAACTATTTCTAATAAAATTCTTCTCAACCTGCCCTCTACAAGTTTGACTATGTGTAAATTTCTATTGTATTTTTGAAACATGATAAATACATAAAGTATATTAATAAATTTATATAAAAAAATCAACAAGAACAAATAGAAAATATGAATAACGATTTGATAAAGTACAACATATACAGATCAAAGTCCTAAGTTATAAATTTCATTATAAGATATGATACTTTCATAAAAAACCTATCACAGTTTTTCTTGATTTATTTTAGCCATTTTCTTTCTAAATGCATGTTATTAATAAGCTACAGCCTATTGCACAGAAAAACCAAGGGGGGGGGGCTTTGCAAAGGTTATAAAGCAGCCATTACAAAATCATTCCCAAATCAGCCACACCAATATTAAATCATGTTGAAGCATTCAGTTTACAGTTAGCGGTAATACCAAGCCTTATTCCTAAACCATTCAGCTGTAGGGTATTCATCTTGCAAAATGAATCAAGAAACTCTTGCACTTTCCTTTTCAATACAAAAGATGTAACATTATGACATTATTTTGTATTTGCAAGAAATGCAAATGTTTATGTTAAAAAATCTGAAAACATCCTTTCCTACGATAAACAAGGAAAAAGGCTTGGCGTGACCTTCACTGACAATAAAAATAGAAGAAAAACTGTGATATAATACAATAGCAGGGACAATAACTTGATGAATTCCACATTACAATAGAGCAAATATATTCTTTATACAAGACTGTATGAGAATTCATCATCAATTGATATTTAGAACTGCACTGCGGTCCTCTCTCTTCATACATAACACCAACAAAACAACAACATAATAAATCTGAAATAAATTACATAACATAAACTATGGCACTAATAGTTTAATTATTTTGTCAAACTTTCAATGAACCAATTTTGTTACTAATAGAGAATTGAGGTTAAATGTCTAATTATTAAAAAATAATCAAATCAAAAGCCCAGATAGGAACCCTGAAAGAACTGCTCTAGATGGACCCACACAAGGAATACTATCCCCCTTTTAAAGGCCATGCTTAATTTAAAGGCTAAATTGGCATTTAAGAACCTTGTACTTTTATGATTGCAGATGGTAGACATTTTGTATTACAAAACCAAACTTTTTATGGGAATAAAAAAAATTTAGCCTTTGCTTTAGTGGAGGATAGTATTCCTTACATTGGAACATTTGAAATATGTGATATTTACCATTAATCTTTGGCTAATCTATCTTTTAGAGTCATAGTTTCTTGGAATATCATTTCTTTTAATTGTTCTTTAGGTAAATCATCCAACTCCATTTCAAAGGTGAATGGTTCGGCAGCTACGGGCTAAAAAATGAACACGACATAATTATTACTCAGTATATAGACAGCTATTTAAGGATAGTTTACAAATAATATCTCATTTGAAAGAAGTACGTAGCAAAATGTAATCAAAGAATCATATTGTTCAATCGGTGCAGTTTAAACATTTCTCATTAGTGTAAAAATTTTCATGAAACAGGACCCAGAAACTTATAATGGTGAAAACAGAAACTCCAGAACTTATTATCAAACAATTCTATAAATTATTTTCATATAATTACAAGAACTTAATGATTCAAATTCAAAACAACATTAATTTAATACTTACTTCATCAGCAGGATCATAATATTGTTCGAGATAAGGATGAGCTAAAGATTGTTCTACAGTTATTCTCTGTTGTGGATTAAATATCAACATCTTATCTAATAAATCTAGAGCTAGAAAGGGGAGTTAAAAAAAATTAATTACATAATATGTCCTCCTAAACAATTGCATTTTTAAATAATAACACACTGTATGACAATGTTTCATGTATATGAGCAATTGTTCAGTGGAACAGGTTTCACGCTATATGATCTTCAGACAACCGACCCATTTTCAGCCTGCGTATAACACCACACATTCTACAGATATACGCTTTCTACACATGCTTGTGTGAGTTAAAATTAGCTAATATGACAGACTAGTGTACAAAAAGAGAACCTTGGTACTCAAACGAGGGCATTTCCTTGTCTGGTGATTTAACTAGGAAGAAAACTAGTTACCTTTAGAATCAGCATTAGGGAATAATCTAGTCCATGGTATTTTTGGTTTGTAAGGTAGAGACTGAATGTATCCTCTAGCCTAAAACATAATACATATTATTCATCACAGTTACTTTTGACAATACTGTTTTAATAACAACTGAGGACACTCTATGGCCTTGCGTTCAATAATCTACACATTACAAATTGTCTTTTGTTTTAATCATTATACAATTTATAGTATGATAAAATATATAAGAGAACACAACAACTGAAATTAAGGAGGGGCAAGAATGTCCTGTTGACTTTATAACATTAGTATTATCAATATGAAGTCAATATTGACAGCAATCAACAGAGAGAGTAAATATACAATTGATAAGAAAAAAGAAATAGGACTTACCTTTTCATTCATTATACAGTTTAGATCAGCCTGACTAGGAGAACCTAATACACCTAGGATATGATTTAACTGGTCCAAATCTATATACTCGGTTCAGGAAATTTAGTTCCATTATCGTGAATACTATTTTATTTCAACAAGTTAGGCTATGTGCCAAAAGCTAGCTGACTCTCAATCAAGAATTCTCACTGCTTAGAATAATAGTCAAAGACTTGGTTTATATCCCCGGTTCCCAACCTGGGGTGTTTTCACCCGGTGGGGGTGTGGGACTAGATTGTCAGGGGTGTGGCCAACTGGTGTAGGAGAAGAGTTTAATTTGAATTGAGAGAGCCCCTCACTTCATCACATACTGGAAATGTGGATGTAACAAATTTTGGAAATGTGAAAGGTCCAGGTGATTGCTCCAGGGATGTGAAGGCTGAAAAAGGTTGGAAACCACTAGTTTTTATATATATATATACCTACTTTTTGTAGATCTTGTTAATATTATGCCTTGCACATTTTTTTGGAATAAGGGGTCATGAACATACCAACAATAATTTAATGTAACAGAAAAAATTTGTCAACAAAACTACTACATTTGGACAACAATATAAATCATACTTACTACAATGATATGTATTATAATATGTAATATAAAGGATACAATGTTTACCAGGAAATAAAGGTCTGTTAGATAACATCTCAGCTAAAATACAACCAACTGACCATACATCAACTAGTATATAGGTTAAGGTTTATAAATCTCGAAAATATTACAAATAAAATAATAATACTTGTCTCAACCACAGCTATGCACATGCTTTTCAGTCGTGTTTTTTAGTATCCATATCCACCCCCACCAGAAAGTTGAGGCTGAACCAGCTTTGTTCTTAAGCTTGTGATCACTCCTTGACAATACTGAGGCTTCTTCTCAGCACCACTCCTCTATGTAATGATTCATATAAATGCCACTAATGCTTTTCCATCGAAAATAAAGACCAGCCATTCTAGGTCCAGATAGTATTAAATAAAATTTTCTGAATTGAATTCATATCAGCCTACCAATTATATGCTTGAAACCCTAGCTCATCTACTATGAATCAATACAAATGATGATTTGTGCCATACAAAGGCCGTCCAGTAGCATATTTCATCATGAAGAGACAGACATTAGAAGAATTCTTAATTTTGTTCTAAAGAATGTGGAAGAACTATATTGATCTGCATTCTTACTTGACTGGCAAAAAAAGCCATGTCCACAGACCTGATTTAGGGTAAGCCATATAAAAAGGATACTGGACTTGGTATAACCTTTAGAGTTTAACATGATTTCTGGTGCTCTGTACCATCTGGTAGCAACGTACTCAGTTAAAAATCCTGTGTGGTCATGTTCAGGATCAGCAACACGAGCTAAACCAAAATCACAGATCTGTAAATACAAATGAACATCATCATTAGATTAGGGTTTCTGTGCTTAAAATCTTTACCCTAAAATTTTAACATTGCTGCTTCACTTATGGCAGCAGTCTGACTGGGAATTGGTGCGTAAAGTTTCTAATTTTTTATCACACTTGTTTGGAAATATTCCTTCTACATTTTACCTCAAATAAGTGTTTTGATGTGGTAACAGCTTGCATAACAAAGCAAAAAGTGTGGTATTCAAATGAATGGAATGATGCCTGTTTATGAGAGAATCGACATTTAAGCACAAAATGAGGAAAAAAGAAACTAACTCACCTTTAAGTCACATGTAGTATTGAGTAAGAGATTACTAGGTTTAAGATCTCTATGTAGAACATTAGCTGAATGTATATATTTTAACCCACGTAAGATCTGATAGAGAAAATAACACACATGATCATTACTGAGCTGTTGTGTTTTTAATAATTTATACATGTCAGTCTCCATCAAACATTGAACGATGTATCTATATTCTGTTAAGGATAGAAATCATGGATCAAATCTAGTCAAAGGTCTTCTTATAATTGAAGATTGAAAGTTGATTTTGCTTATATATATTCTTCAGAAAAATAGAAAATTAAAGACTTTTTATAACCAAATATAATTGTATCCATGCTTATTATTTTTTAAATTTCACATTTCATGCTAGTACCGGTTTTTCTAATTTTCATACAGTTAAATAGCTCATAGCCGAAGCTTTTAAATCAATTGTCCAGAACTAAACAAATTGAATACAACATATATGGAATTGGAATTCGAAAAAGGTTAGTCTAAAAAAACATTAGATTTGGAAATTCGGGATTAGCTTATGATAAATGAGACTTTCTATGGTTGGGTTTGTATTTTGACCAACTTAGTTTTTTTTATCTTTTGATCAGATGATGGCTCAAACTCTGATAATCCTAAAATAGGTGGCACTAGTAATCAATAATCGTGTTCTAAGCTTAACCTGTATAATTTTATACTCTAGACTCAAAGAACTTTCAATATGTGATTAACTGTTTAATTTTATGTAAAGACAACATATAAAAAATAATTTTTTTCAAAAGGATACACATCTTTCATTTTATCAGCTGATTTTGCACGCAGTATATCTCGAATATCAATAATCTGAAATATAAAATACATCACATACGAAATAACAAGCAGTGTTAATTTAGAAATAGTCAGGGCTAATTTGAGAGTAACTGTTAGTGAATAGAACTGTGATTATAAACGCATAATGCTGCAATAAATAATCTGCAGAACAAATATCAAACAACATAATCTATATGCTATCAATCAAATTATATTAAAAATACATACAAATCTTCTAATTTCAGAGTGATCTAAGTATTGAAAGTATGCATGTCCGAAAGAGTTTATTAGAAATTTGAGGGATGTCAAATAGATACACTTCACCAATATCCAGCCTTGCATAACATAACATAATGTAACATAACTTACATTTTCATGCTTGAATCTTGTTAAGATTTTGATTTCTCTCAATGTTCGTTGACAATATGTCTGATGCTCAAAAGGAGATATCTTTTTAATGGCCACTTTGGTTTTAGTTTCATTATCATAAGCAGATCTGAAAAACATATCATAGAGTTTTCCTATTAGTAACAACATCAGGGATAAGACTGAAAAGTAAGTAACTAAAACAAAACTTGAAGCATTTTCTGAAACTTGTGAATAAATGAAAGGTGCAAAAAATACAACCATGAAACTTTGGATGTATAATACTCAGTAGACCTAGCATGTCCTATACCCCAGTTTCTTAGCTAATTTCAACATGTTACAAGCCATAAATGCTGTCAAAAGGTTAGTGATAAGAATAATTTAAAAATCTATTATTTGAAAATGAATTTATAAGCTTAAAAGTTAAAGATACATTTTATGGTAAATACAATATGTGCTAATAGATCTTGTGGTTTGATAAATATTTCTAAGTTTCACATGACAAGGCACCAGTCACAATCGGGCTAGTTTACTATAATATTCAAGGCTAGTACTATCAATAATGTCATTTCCTTATCACATTCCCTTTTTTCCACCTTGCTACTAGTTATAGGCCTAGTACTTGCTAAGAAAAAACATCCTGTTTTGTACACTTGAGGAATGAATAAATCACACATATAGAGTGCAAATTACAAATTTCTGCATGGGCGTACACTAATCTTTGAGAATGAACGTGAATAACCCGTGCATTGTGATAATTATTAGATTATATCAATCAGGTTGAGTTTGTTTTGATTGCAAGATTGACACACTTTTGACGGATGGCTCGATTCGAATTTTATCAGGCTGAAAATTCCAATAAAACAACTGAATTGACACTTACACGACCATTCCATAAGCGCCTTCTCCAATGTAGAGTAGCTTTGTATATCTTGGGCCAACCTCAAATGCCTGCCCTCGAACTAATTCATAATTTTCTCCATTAGACGATGTCGAAGTTGTCTGAGCTGCCATTTTGGAAAATGACGCACGGCTTGGCTTTTCCGTGTCACGTGATTCAATATTCTCTGACGTCACATAAGTCGCTCTCACAAACAACTCACAGGGCCTCGAAATATATTGACAAATTCTTGAATTATTTTATTGGTTTTACGATACTGCTTAAACGCAAATTGTAAAAAAATGAGGAATTCAAGAGGTGGTAGTAGATAGCAGAATGTGTTGAACTGCAGGCATCGAAACGATTCACAGAAACAAAACAAATCTAGAGCAGGCATAACTCATAGAGTATTATTATGTAACTCCATGGCATGACCATGTTTTTAGAATTATTCCATTTGAGTCTGACTCACTAACTGTCTTTTTTTTCATTCCAGGCAATTACTCATGGTTTTGTCATACTCTCACTCCTAATGTTCTTATTAATATATTTCCCTATGTGAGGTGAAATGAGTAACTTATTTATTGTAGCTTAAAAACAGTATCTAATCACTTTAGTACAGGATAAGAAATAAGGCTCAAGGCTACGCAGGCATGCCAATTGACTTTCAATAAAAAAAAGCCTACATCGATTTCTTAATCGTTTGGCAAAGCTTTGATTTGGAACTTAAATATGTTTAGTTAGTCTTCAGAAGCCCTAGAAATATACAGAATTGCATAGCCTTATTCCTTCAAAAATACCTCAAACTAGGAATTTCACTTTCTCTCTCTATATTTCTCCTTTATTGTAGGCTAATATAGTACGGTGGCCCATATTCGACAAAATTATTATTTCTAATTTTGAATTATAAACTTATGGGCAACTGTAATATAGCCTTTCAATATATCAATAAATCATATTGTTTATACACTACAATAGCCAAGGCCAAGACAATTGATTATGTAAAAAGTTATAATATCAAAGAATCACTAACCAGAGGGACATGACGTTTTACGCCTTTGAGCACAATCAAGCCTTATCACACTTGACTTTCTGTATATGACGTCGAAACTTCGTCATAGCTTAGATTGAGCTTTAAAGTATGAAAGCAAATATTTTCAATTGTATTGAAATATCTGAAATTTTTTGAAAATTAATAAAAACTTAATTTAGGATTATCCAGTAGTTACCGTCACACTGATTTTATACCATTGTATATAGACTACCGGATGCCAGAATTAAAAGAGCGCAATCAGTCTGAAACAGGATGCTCAACGCCAGGCTTTTACTTATAAGAGCTCTGGAAGCTATAGATAGGGGTTGAAGGTCGATACCAGGCCGACTTTCGGAAGCTATAGATAGGGGTTGAAGGTCGATACCAGGCTGACTTTCGGAAGTTATAGATAGGGGTTGAAGGATGATACCAGACCGACTTTCGGAAGTTATAGATAGGGGGTTGAAGGTCGATACTAGACTGATTTTCGGAAGTTATAGATAGGGGTTGAAGGTCGATACCAGGCCGACTTTCGGGAGCTATAGATAGGGGTTGAAGGTTGATACCAGGCCGATTTTCGGGAGCTATAGATAGGGATTGAAGGTCAATACCAGGCCGACTTTCGGGAGCTATAGATAGGGGTTGAAGGTTGATAGCAGACTGACTTCGGAAACTACGGCTCAATTTTCCAGCTACTCGTATCATCTTTCCAAAAAAATTACGTCTTGGGTTGGCCAACAATTAGTTAAATAAAGGACTAGAAATGTGTCATTGATAATATTTGTTTATATCAGAATGCTGATCCTGGAAACTTGGAATTTCGTCGAATGAGTCAGTATTTATTTCAATCTAAATGAACCGAAGTCGAATTGTAATCAATTCAGGTAATTGTAATTGCTGTCCCATTTCATGTGCCCTCTTCCAAGCTTTTACTTCGTCACTTTTACAACACTTTTGCAACAAGAACGACATAAAAGCTGTAGTTTCTTTCTTTTCTGTCTAAAAGTTCTGTTCGCACAGCTAGAGTCGACCATTCCTGTAAATTAAAGTAATACCTATAATTCAGACAGTCTGCAGTCTGTCAATTCCATGCCGACAGCGCGTGCCATGACGTCACATGTATATTATGAAATGAAGGTGTATGGGGGAGATAGTAGTGTTGAATATACAATCAGATATTTCATACTTGGCACCCATAATAAGTCTTATACCTGAAGGTTATTCTTAGAAAGCAGATACCTTTAGAGAATCACGCATGCGCATAACATTCTGTTTTCGACTTTCGAGTTGCACACTTTTGTGTGTTGTGTGATTTTTTTTCTTGTAGTTTTTGCTAACTTCATTAGGTATACTTTTGTGACACGGTTTTGGTTTATGTTTGTTTCAATGGTTTTAAAGGTAAGCAACCCTTTTATTTATAATTTCATTTTGTTAGAAGGGAAAATATTTATCATTTGTTTTATGTATTTGGCCTGAGTTGGTGCCAAATTGTTCCAATATTAGTCACGGTCTAAGGTACCAAAAGTGTTTTATTATACCCGTCTTGTTAAAACAAAAGAAAAGTTTTATAAACTTTTCATGCTTCAAAGGCTATTACATTTCATTACAATTACACTCGACAAGCAGAAGAGTGCGCGTGAAATACCATATTCATTACAGTCTTCGTTGTTTCCCCCATCCACTAATTTTTAACAATATCAATATTGATCCATTCATTTCATTGATAGAATTCAGATATTCTTTTTATGCCAATAATGTAATAATTACATGAAGGGGTGAATGAATAATGATTTGAAGAGGGGAATGAATAATGACATGAAGAGGGGAATGAATAATGCCATGAAGGGGTGAATGAATAATGACATGAAGAATTGAATGAATGATGAAGAGGGAAATGAATAATGATTTGAAGAGGTGAATGAATAATGACATAAAGGGGTGAATGAAAAAGAACATGACGGGTGAATGAATGATGAAGAGGGAAATGAATAATGCCATGAAGGGGCGAATGAAAAATGAAATGAAGAGGGGAATGAATGATGATTTGAAGAGGTGAATGAATAATGCCATGAAGGGGCGAATGAATAATGACATGAAAGGGCGAATGAATAATAATGAAATGAAGAGGGGAATGAATAATGATTTGAAGGGGTGAATGAATAATGATTTGAAGAGAGGAATGAATAATGACATGAAGAGGTGAATGAATAATACCATGAAGGGGTGAATGAATAATGACATGAAGGATTGAATGAATGATGAAGAGGGAAATGAATAATGATTTGAAGGGGTGAATTAATAAGAACATGACGGATGAATGATTGATGAAAAGGGAAATGAATAATGATTTGAAGAGGTGAATGAATAATTACATGAAGAGTCGAATAAATAATAAAATGAAGAGGGGAATGAATGATGATTTGAATAGGTGAATGAATAATGACATGAAGGGGCGAATGAATAATGACATAAAGGGGCGAATGAATAATGAAATGAAATGAATGGAGTTTTACGTCCTACTCTTCTGCACCTTGTGGGCTAATGAAGACGACAACGCCATGCAGGGTGCCATGAGGGAAATTTTGCCAGGACAGCGGCATTAGCCTGCTCTTTTTCGATTTCCAACTTTCGAGGGATCTTTAACGTGCACAGCCTGTAGCACACGGGGCCTCGGTTTATTGTCCCATCCGAACGACTAGACGCTTTTTCCATGTCAGCCCCTCTTACCTGCATCACTGACAGGGGGAAACCGGGTTGAAAAATCCGAAGGTATTATCTCGACCTATGCCGGGATTGAACCCTGGACCTTCAGTTTAGCGAGCAAGCGTCTTTTTTTTTTCTTGTAAAAATATATTTATTCACAGATAAATTGCATTCATAATATACACATTTCCATAATTCAATTACAGGGTATATCGCATACAATAAGGCTCATTTTATACAAATGTACCGGGCTAAAAAACTTATTATTGTTATTTCATATTCTTTTGATATAGTAGAGTTATATACAATAGGGTAAAAGTATAAAAATTTAGTATGTACATGTTAAAATACAGAGCCTTTTAATAAGCAAAAAATTGAATTTCTAGAAATTAAATACAGGATTATTTTGGTTTTGTAATATCACTGTTACACGAATTATTTGAGCTTCATAATTACCTATTTTGCATTGTTAGCCACCGCGGCTCCAATAATGACATGAAGGGGCGAATGAATATTAATGAAATGAAGATGGGAATGAATAATGTTTTGAAGAGGTGAATGAATAATGACATGAAGGGGTGAATGAATAATGGCATGAAGGGGTGAATGAATAATGGCATGTTATTATTCATTAACCCTTTCAAGTAATTATTCATTCGCCCCTTCGTGTCACTATTCATTGACCCCTTCATGTCATTATTCATTCAGCCCTTCATGCCATTATTCATTCACCTCTTCGTGTCATTATTCATTCACCCCTCCATGTCATTATTCATTCACTCTTTCATGTCATTATTCATTCACTCTTTCAAGTCATTATTCAGTCACCCCTTCATGTCATTATTCATTCACCCCTTCATGTAATTATTCATTCACTCTAACATTTTATCATGTTAATGCAATGACTAGATGAAAGACTTTACTTCCGGTATTAAAATTAATAGTATCTTGAAAATATGACATCATAAATTGTAGCAAGATGTGTTCCTTATAGCAGGAGTGGCGATGAGAAACTCTGATTATGATGCATAAATAGTCATAATTATGTAGATTATGCTACGTAATTGAACATCTAGGCAGGCAAAAACTTGAAAATTTGAAATCGGCATCATTAGGTAATCGTGAATTTAAAGTTGGGCAGTTTTCATTATCTCGGCTGTGTCATGGTCACAAAATCTCAGTATTTGTAGAATTGATTACAGGTATTTGTGAAATCCAGGTAGGCTGTTTTTCTGTTCTTTAAACTAAGTTATCACCTAAATAGGGATATAAATGATATTCAATATCAAAATATTAATATCCCACCGAGAATAATCTTAAAATTATCAACATTTCTCTGAGGTCAATTACACCATTGGCTACCAGATGCCTGACCTGGATAATCTAGATAACACTAATAGGTTTAAGA